TCTCCCAATTCGTTGAAGATTCTTTCAATTTTGATTCAAAATTATCAAAAAAAAAAAATTGCTAAGATACATCATAAATATTTTGATTTTGCTGAGACAATGAAGAATCTGAAGAAAAAAAAATCTGACATTCAAGAATATGGAAAAAATATGAGCCTCGATTTGCAATGTATAAAATAGATAAGAGTTTCAATTTCATAGTAAAATAGATCTAACAATCGGATGTATGAAAAAAATATGAGCCTCGATTTACAAAAATATAATTTAATAATGTAAACAAATAAATAAGAGATGTTTGTTAGTGCATAAGAGAAGAAAAACAAAATAGACATTTGTTTTTACGTGTAAGAAGAAATTAATAGATTATGTCATCTAAACTTAGAAATTGGTGGATGGATGACCTAATAATGTGAGCTTACTCTTACACACGCACATAGAGTGGGCGTTCGATATGGAGAAAAATATTTTTGATTTGTCTGGTGGTTTTTGAAAATATTTTCTTTACGAAAGTAAGTTGCAAAGAATAGATGATTATACGAAATTATATTGACCAGTACATATGATTCGATTAAGGAAAACAATTTCGTCTTACAAATGTCATTCCGTCTCGATCGTGTCTTCCCATGTTGGCCCATCTCGATCGTGTCTTCCTTCCAACATGAGCATCACCTTCACTCCCATCCCTATAGCCCCCATCTCCTTCACCCAACTCTCACCTCTTATAGAATTTGTCTAGAATGAGTAGTCGAAAGTTATAACTTTGTTAAAGTTTAGTTGTTTCAATCGACCTTCAAATATATAATAATAAAAGTGATCAATGGACGCTATTTCATCTACACTATACCGATTTATGGATATTATGGTAAGTGCTAGTTTGTTACTGACTTATAGACTAGCTTACTATTTCTAAAGGACATGGAGCCCAGTAAAAACTCCTTGGGCTTGGGCATAGGGACATTTTATCCCAGGAAAATCAGGAGTGTGTGTTTGGCATGATCCAAATATAGAAAATTTTGTATTTGAAATTTTTCATTCGTTGCCCGATATCTATTTTGAGACTCCCCAAAATTCGAAAGAAGCCATTAAAGAGGCAAGCACCATTTGATAGATCTTTTTTTTTTTCATATCCAGGACTCCAACTGAGACCTATAATTAGAAAGAAATTAATCGTATGTATCCCACCATAACCTTTGGTTCTCTAACCAACACAAACAACAACATACTCAATGTACCTCCATCAAAACCACATCCCTTCTACTTCTAGGTCTGAAGCCATTGCGGGCAAACAAGACATTAACAACAATTCGTATTTAATCAAAATATTTCACTAAGAGAATTTAAAATATAAAAATAAATATACAAAAAAGTTACATAAGATTTAAACCCCTCAATTTTACTTGACTCCGTCCCTACTTGTACCTCACCTACATATATCTAAACCCGCGCCGCTCTAACAAATGAACGAGCTAAAATGTGAAGGTATAAAAATTCTCTTTTAAAAAAGGTAAGAACTTTTGTTTATTTTATAATGATACAATAGGGAAGACAATATAAATTTTAGAAAAACGAAGTTTTTCTTTTTTTCTTTTAATAGCAAAATTCAAAATTCAAATACCAAATATCAATTCCAAGGGGCCACTTTTTTTTTTTGTAACTTTAATGTAACGGAAATATTGCAACTTGACCTTTATGTATGTGAAAACTAAGAGCCTATTTGAATGGCGTTTTAGTTTATTGTATTATTAATAATATTTTTGACTTTTGGTTTTCTTTTGTTATTTTAAAGTAAGTGTTTAAAAATATATTTTTTATTGTATGTAAATATTATAAAAATGCTTCCAAATTATTTGGGCTTAAAAGAAGTGTAACTTACAAAAATGACTACAGTTTTAGGGTCAAAACTATAAGTATGATATTTTAAAAAAAATAGGTACACTTGATGTGTCAAAATGGCTATAAGTATGATATTTAAAAAAAAAAATAGCTACACTTTATGTGTCAAAATGGCTATATTTCATGCATATGTCGTTAAATACAAAAATACATCTAAATTTAATTCCCCCCACCAAATAAGGCAATTATGTTAATAATGCAACTGTCATTCCTTTATTTCAGCCCTTAACCCCCTTAATTTTGTACTTTAAATTAGCGATAATCACCACTACCATCTAGGTTTCTCATCAGTTTAAAAATTAAAAAAAAATCTTTAATCTTTCTTCTTCAATTTTCACCTAACAAATTCAATTCCAACTATCACAGTCTTGATCCGACATTTCGGAAAATGGAGCGAAGAAAATTGCTATGTAGAATATAGTACTGACGGGACAGCGTTGAAGGAATATTCTTCGTATTTTGATTTAATTTCGGTACAATTGAACATCGATCTTACAAAAAAGTGTATCAAAATCAAATACACTGTCGAAAGTAACGACACGCCTATGAAAATACGCAATGACATGGGCGTGCGTGTATATGTTCCGTTAAAAAAAATCAACACTCAATTTGGAGTATATCCCTTGTGTGTAAGTATTTTCGATAAGGAATTCATAATGTATTATGTTGTTTCTGGTCCTCCAATTAACCAGTCTGGGAATTCGATTGGTATTCTTTTCTTCAATATTTGGATCAACATTCATATAGCCAAACTTGCATAGCATGAGTCATATCATCAATTATGTAGTACTGTTTTTTGACATCCATTTTTTTGTTATGTTTTTGATCAATTTGGAGAAAACATCTTTTCTCCATGGGTATTCATGGTAGAAATCGCTCTCAACTAAATCAAATTGTATCCTTGGAATTAAAGAGCTCTTCTTCTCACCGGAATAGATGAACGTACTGATAAAATATAAAATTGCAAATTTAACAGCATCATCATCATTCCCATCACCTCATACCTTCCTTTTATACTTACTGATCAACTCAGCCTTTCTTACAGTACAGATTTGAAGGGGAAGCTTACACCGACCCAATTCAATCAATTCAAAGATAGTTGTTTTGGAGTGTATACCAAAATGCACATGTGTGAGGCGCAAACACAAATCTTTAGGTGTTTAATGATTTGTGAATTAGAGGACAATTCCCTGGATGAATTGTTCTTTCGTACAAATCATACCACACTCTGTTTTGGTATTGAAGAATTTTCCATTATTACTGGTTTGAACTGTTTCGCTCATGAAGACGATTTATTATTTGACACAAGTGAGTCGAACAGAATCATCGAGCAGTACTTTGAGGGTAAAAGTACCATAAGAAAGGCAGAGTTGATCAGTAAGTATAAAAATAATGTATAGGGTGATGGGAATAATGATGATGCTGTTAAATTTGCAATTTTATATTTTATCAAAACGTTCATCTATTCCAGTGAGAAGAACTCTACAATTCCAAGGATACAATTTGATCTAGTTGAGAGCGGTCGGTACCATGAATACCCGTGGAAAAATATGTTTTCTCCAAATTGGTCAAAAGCATAACAAAAAAAATGAATGCCAAGAAACAATAATACATAATTGATGGTATGCCTCTTGCTATGCAAGCTTGGCTATATGAATGTTGTTCTGCTGTTGATCCAAATATTGCAGAAAAGAAGATCAATTGGATTCCCAGACTGGTTAATTAGAGGACCAGAAACAACATAATACATTATGAATTCCTTATATACTCCAAATTGAGTGTTGATCTTTTTTAACGTAACATATACACGCACGCCCATGTCGTTACGTATTTCCATATGTGTGTCGTTACCTTCAATTGTGTATTTGATTTTGATATACTTTTTTATAATATCGATGTTCAATTGTATCGAAATTAAATCAACCAAATCAGAATATAAAGTATATTCCTTCAACACTATCCCGTCAATACTATATTCTACATAGCAATTCTCTTCGCTCTATTTTTCGGAACGCCGAATCAAGACTGTAATAGTTGTCATGTTAGGGGAAAACTGAAGAAGAAAGATTAAAGAATTTTTTTATTTTTAAACCAATGAGAAACCTAAACGGTAATGGTGATTATCGCTAATTTAAAGTGCAAAATTAAGGGGGTTAAGGGCTGAAATAAAGGAATGACAGTTACATTATTAACAAAATTGCCTTATTTAGTGAAGAATTAAATTTGGATGTATTTTTGTATTTTAAAAAAATGACATTAAAAAAAATCAACATATGCATGGAATATAGCCATTTTGACACATAAAGTGTAGCTATTTTTTAAAAATATCATACTTATAGCTATTCCAATCTAATAACCCTAAAACTATAGTCATTTTTGTAAGCTACACTAAATTGTCTATGTAACACCTTTTTGAAATGCAACTCTTTCCTCACCTTTTTTTTTTATTTCTCATTTGGAGTCCGGACTAAATATAAATTGCACACGATGAAATCCATACCCAAAACCTCTAGTTAAGGGCGAAATAGTCTCACCCTCACCTTATGTGAAGGTAAATACTTTGATCACCAAATATACATTTTAAAAAAAAAGAAATAATCACTATTCAATTATCATCCATCTCCAAATTGAATTCACAAAAGCAAGCTCAAAACAATTGTTGCTACTATTCTCCTCTCCGATATTTTAGCATAACTTCTTCACTAATGTATTTTCATTTTATTCCTTTTTATATGATAACTAAAAAATCTCTCTAAGTAGAATTTAAACCTACAACCAATCAATTAACAATCGACCATTTCACCACTAAGCTAATGAAGAACAACAAACTAAATATTGCAAGTCCACTCTTGTTCTTTGGACCCAACCTATGACCGAATTAAAATGAGTTTGTCACTCTTTTTCACATCTCGATAAGAGTAAGACGATATACACATCATACTCTTCAAACCCCACTTATAAAATTACCCGAAATATTAGTTGTTTGTAAAAGCAAGCTCAAAACAAAGAAACACAACACAAAAAAATGATTATTTATTCACAAAAAACAATACTATTCAAAAACAATAAGATAATAATAATACCATATTGTCTAATGGATTGAATAATAATCTCCCAATAATCCAACAAAAATTAAGAAATAATAAAACCAAAAAAATCACCAATCAAGATTACATTGAGTCCTCTCAAAAGTACCATTGCCCTTGAAAGGAACTTTTAAATCACACATAATCATTGGCTTAATCTTCTTAGTCTTAATCCAACCAAATTTAAACCTAATCCTCATATAAAGCCTTAATCCAATTTGATAAACCCCAGAATCCTTCTCCACATTGTATTCGGATCCTAATTGAACCGAATCCTGACCCGTAAACACTAGATTCAAATCGGTTGTGTTTTTGTGACCCTGATAAAACGGGTCGGGTTTCACAATCGAGAAATTCTGGCCGTGATACATAGCCCTAGCTTCAATTGAATCGTAGTAAATCCCAATTCGTTTATTAGGGTTTCGAATTGAGATGTTGAGATGGAGATCGTAGTACAGAGTGTTGTTTCTAGTTGAGAAATCGAATTGGGTTAATGAAGCATCGGAGATGTGGAAATTTACCTTGTTTGGACGGAGAACGAGCCAGCAGATGAATCCGACGACGGCGATGATGACTAAGAGAGTACAGAGGATTTGGAAGATGCAAGTGCAGATGCAGTTGAAAATACAGCTACAACAACAGGTGAATGGGTTGCAACAGCACCCTCCTCCGCCTCCGCCGTGGCCAGGACGGTGGTAGGTTTTTGACGGCGGTGGAATTGATGGGCCGTAATAAGCTCCGTTCAAGTGGGGTTCCGGCATGACTGAACGGAAAATTGAGAGAAAAGGGAAAAAGCAGTTGCGTAGTAGTGGAAGAATGCGAACGATTTTTGTGTGAGTGGAATTGTGAGTATTAATATTATTATTATTATATATAATAAGCCACAATGCAACTATATTGTAACTATCTTGTTAGCTTTCAACCAAAAGCTAACAAGATTTTTGGTTACATATTTATTATTTAGTTAAATAATAAATATGTCATTGTATGAGCTATTTATTACTCATTTCTTTTGAATTTGTTAAATTTTGATCTGACACATAGTTTACGAAAGTAAATTAGATTTTGAAAAAAACATTAAGTGATACTTGAAGTTGTTTCAGATTTTCAAAAAGACATACTAATTTTGCGTGCGTCCTATTACCCCACAAAACATTCAAAATCACAATAAATACACATTTTTTACACAATATTTCCACTTTGGACAAAAATATCCTTCGAATGTGCAATTTCTTAAAAATAAAAAGTCAGACTCATTATTGATGTACTGAAGGATGCTTTGGTAATTTCATATGATGAATTCGTTTTGTTTGTTTCTTTTAAATTTATTTTACTATACTAAATAATTCTATAAAATATTATGAATTACGATAATTAATTACTTAAATATTTAAAAGATATAAAAATATATAAAAGATCTTATTGACTCTTCAAATTTTACCGGTGACACATAAATTGGGACAAATAAAATAATATATATATATGAAAATTTCTTTAAAAGTATTATAAATTACAGTAATTAACAGTTAAAAATATTTCAAAGACAAAAAAATTTGATTGAATCTCAAATATTTTTTAGTACTACATAAATTGAGAAAGAAGAAATGACCTATATTATTTGAAAATGGCGTAAAAGTATTACAAATCATACAATAAGAATTAACAATTTAAAATTTTAAAAGACTTTAATGTTTTATACTTATTCTATTTCCACTTTGGACAAAAAATATCCTCCCAATATGCATATTTTTTAAAACAAAAAGTGGGACCCATTATTGATGTATTCAAGGATGCTTTGGTAATTTTTCTATGATGAATTCGTTTTGTTTGTTGTTTAATTTTTTTAAAATAATTGTATAGAATATTATAAATCACAATAATTATTTACTTAAATATTCAAAAGATATAAAAATATGTAAAAGATCTGATTAACTCTTCAAATTTTATCGGTGACACATAAATTGGACAAATGAAATAATATATATTATTTGAAAAATACTTAGAAGATACAATAATTTACAGTAATTAACAATATAATATTTTAAAGACAAAAAAAATTGATTGAATCTCCAAATTTTATTAGTACTACATAAATTGAGAAAGAAGAAATAACTTTTATTATTTTAAAATTGTGTAAAAGATATTACAAATCATACAACAATAATTACCAATTTAGAATATTAAAAGACATAAAAAAAATGTTTACCATAGTTAACAATAATTAAAAATTTAAACTATTTTAAATTAATATTAAAGTTTGATTAACTCTTTAATTTTGTCTTTGTCACATAAATTGAAACAAAAAATGATACATATTGGGCCCGTGCTAGCACGGGCTCCGATGTCTAGTATATATATATATATATATTAGGGTGTGTGAGGCCCAATTTGGGGAGGTTTAGTTTAGAGTTTGTTTAGTATAGCGGTTAAAAATTACTTATTTTTAGAAGTATGTTTTTAAAAATAGCTTTTTTAGAAAAGTACTTTTTCAAAAAAATAAGAATTTATGTTTTTCGCGATAGGCATTCAACGAATCGCTATCCATTAGATAACATTAATGAACTAAATATATTGATAACATAGAAGACGATATATAGAGAAGTAATGCGGAAGTATTACTATCAACGATGGTTATGATGGAGTGATAGATAAAGATAGTAGCTAACAATTGTTTAGTACAACGAGGAAGTACTACTACATATTTAGTTCATTAGGGTTAGGTAACACTAATGAACTAAATATGTTGATAATATATCAACTCCAAATATGTTGATCAAATATTTGAACAATTATCTCATAAACCTATTGAAAAGACTTAATATATCATGGAGCTATCATATCATGTAAGTACTATTAACAATGAGGGTTGTGGTGGATTGACAAATACTATTTTATCCTTAATCAATAATTTTGAGTTCGAATCTCCATAAATTCGAAATCGCTTTTATTAGAGAGCACGTTACTACGTAACAAATTAATGATAAAGCATTCTTTTAAACAACCAAACAATGATAAACATAAAAATGCAACATTACTTTTTAGAACTAATTAAAATAAATGACAATTCAAGAACTTCTATTCTATTTATAATTCTTCCAATCCAGGTTCTTATAGAATAGCTACAAAGAGACCCACCTTCACCTTATTCTACTTTCCTTAGCCTCTAACTCAGGCGTGGTAAAATAAATAGTAAGTAAAATTGACCCTGATCAGTATAGTTAGATAGTTAGAGTTTGTAGTTCCTTCAACAATTCTGAAATGGAAGGCTCAAAGAAGATGGCTCTTCATTCTTTTCTATTCATATCGCGGTCAATCGCATAGAGGACTTATATATGAAAACCAAACCACTACAACATAACTTTTTAGAACTAATTAAATGAATGACAATTCAATCTAAACTACCAAACAATACCATGTTAAAATTCAATTAAACTTTGGATATATAAATAAAGAAGATAAAGCATGATAAACAACTAAGGAATATCATAAACATTCAAAACAAGAATTGACATGTTGTCCAAATATAATTATTCCAATAATGTTACTTACAATATATATCCTACTATGTGTTATTAAATACTATTAATAATATCACATAACTAGTAGTTGTTTCACTTATAACTATGCTTATGCCTCAAATTTTCTCCACAAAAACAAGAAACTAAATTTAAACAAAGTTGACTAAAATAGAATCAACCATGTATTAAACCTTAACCACACCAAAAATTATTGGCATTTCCACAATTTCCTCCTAACCATTTATTTTCATAATTCACAAATTAAATAATATTTACACATATAACACATTAACCCCACCTTTGAAACTAGGCAGAAAAACACATACAGAAGAATCATCCTCCCTACAATTTGATTCTTCTGTATTAGAACAAACACAAATTAAAAAAAAAAGTTCGTTCCAATCGAAATTTATTATTATTAAATCGAAAAAAGAAGAAGAAAAAACTCCATCATGGGGAAATTTTGTTGTTGCAACTGTGTCTTCAGTTGTGTTTGCGCATGCATTTTTCAGATACTTTGTGCGATTATTGTCATCTTTGGCATCCTTTTTCTAGCCATTTGGCTCATTTGGAGGCCCAATAAGGTCTATTTCCACGTGTCAGATGCCTCATTGGCGAAATTCGACTTCTCTCCATCAACCAATACCCTTGACTATGACCTTAACCTCAACTTCGAGATAAGAAACTCCAATGAAAAAATTGGCGTTAAGTATGAACTCATAGAGGCAAAATCGAATTTCCATCAAAAGAAATTTGCCACAACGAACTTTGAATTGTTCTCTCAGGATTCTAAGAACACGACTATTTTGCATCAGGAGATCAAGGGTCAAAGCGATGTTCAATTCGGAGATAGAGAGAAATCGGATTACGAAAATGAGAAGAAAAATGGAGCTTTTAATATTTACACAATGTTTAACGTTCACATGAGGCTAAAATCAGGTTGGATCACAACGGGAAAGATTAAGTTTGTTGTTGGCTGTGGACTAAAGGTTCCACTCAAGTCTGATAATACATCACCTTCTACTTTTCAAAGAACTAATTGCATGGTCTTTCCTAGTTGGGCCTCGTAATACGTTAGACTTGATATGAAGAGTTACCAAAATTAAACCTTTGACGAAGGAGTGTGAAGTTGTTTTTTTTTGTTTGTATGATTTGAAATGCTATTCATCCTTATATATATATCCTTAAAAGGATGAAATGTATTTGAATAAAATATAACGAATATAGAGAATTCATACAAGTCAATATATCCTCAAGTTAATTGGGATTTGATATATAGTTAGTTATTGATGTTGGATTTTCTTTCATTTCTAGTTTTGTTTTGTGTTAATTACTCAAAAAACTCAATATATCCTAAAAGACAGAGTTTATACATATTAAATGATCTTTTGAACATAAAATCGAGTTTGAGCCAAAACTACTAAAAAAAAAATTGTCAAATCCTTATGAGAAGCCAAGCTTTCATCGCGTCATATGTCGTGGAGGGAACGTTTTTCATGTAGTTTATGCTAATATAAGTCCCGTAAATAATTGCCTTCAACCTTGATTGCGTACAATGGAGGAAATTAAAGACATATTCCTATTTTAAGGGTAAAGCGCTCTGTTTTGCAATGTAGGTTGCAAATGCAGGTGTTCTACCTGCATCTGCCTCCTAACCACGTCCAATGGATACGTAAATGTTTGTCCAAATAAGCTATAGCTAGAGCTCCACAAGAAAGATGCATCAAAATGGACCTTTGGTGATCTTCAAGAACACGCCTCTTTATTTCCTCATAAATATAAAACTTCAACCAGCAAGTGTAGGCCTTATGCCTCTATATTGTGCCTGTAGTTCCCCCTTCCTTTGGTCTGCCTGCATGACATGTTTAACACCATTATACGAATGATGTTTCACATGTCCTTTTGTATCCACAACTTGATAAGCCAACTTGGTACGTGCCAAATCAAGAGGATTGGTACACAAAACCGTAGTTCCTACTACTGTCAAGCCAGCTAAAAGATCTACTAACGATACCAATGCATCATAGGGAACAATATAATTCGAAGGATCACACTAGCTCCATTCCCCTTGTAGAAACCAACAACGCCTTCGCATTTCAAGATCTTCTTTAGAGATTGGTAAACTCCAAGGAAGTTAAAGAGTTCCGTCCTTGTCTGCTTAATATTTTTACCCGCTCTAGTGGAGCAATCACAATTTTGGCAAATGCACCAGCACCGCCACCAGCAATTAGCTCCTTTACATATGTAGGCAAACCATCAAAAATTGAAACATCCTACATGTCACAAAAGATACTCCTAGTGAAAATTACTTTAACAATATAGTGTATTTCATCCGTTTTAATTTACGTGATCCTATTTTTATATTTGAAAATAATTTAACCCGAATCTCCTTCTTGTGCATCTATCTCCGCCCCTAATGAGTTATAACTATATTTATAAAGTCTTTCTTTCTTCGTTAAACTTCGTTTTTATTCAAATATATGCTTAATCACCACCAGGGGGGAAACAAAAATTTATCAAAACAAAAAGAATTCACTCTATTTTACTCTTTAAACTGCAATAAGCTCAAGATAGAAGTAATAAATCAACTTTGACATTACAAAAATTAAATTTAGCACATTATACATAACATTATATTTTTCCCAGTTAAGGGGAAATACCAAATGACTACTTAAAACAACGATTTCTTTTCCTACAGAGACAGATTTTACAGTATCTCTCTGGAACAGGAAGCAGCAAATTATGTCTGCATTTCAACGATCGAATACATGACTTGCAGCAACGATCAACTTCTGTTAGTGCAAGCGGGAAGAGACGGAGGCTTCAAAGTACATATTCTGCTGCATGTTGATCAGTCCCCTAGAAGGGTCCGTTTTTTAGATGTGTTCATGTAAGGCTTTATGACCCACTCGATTTGAGCTTCGTCTTGATCCATCGTTCCTAATTTGATCTACATTAAAAACAAGTAACTTGATCAGGTATCAGCAACAGATAGAATACGGATCATGGTAATCACACATTCCTAACAGCGTAGCACGAAATTCATATGACAAAGAGACAGGGCAAGTGTACTGAATAAAGCACATTTTCGGGGACTGATTCTTCAAGACCAAAGCAAATCTGTTAACTAATATGATAAATTCTCGAGCTAGATAAAACACATATTAGTGAACTCTTGGAGAAGGGCTTAATATCACTTCTGGTTTAGTTGCTTGACATCTATTATCATGAAGCAGATAAGAGAACTTGCAGCAACTTTTTTCTCTTTTGTCGTTCCGAATAATTTTATAGGAATATGTAGAAGTGGAAAACATAGGACTGGCAACTAAAACTAAGATAAGTCAAGATTACACAGTTTCAAGACTATTAATAAACATGGATGCAAACAATTATGACGAACCAGTTTTGGTATAATTATTGTCACCTGGTAAAGCCGTAGTTCAAATCGAGGGCCAACCTCTTTCAGCTCAATTGATTTTGGACCTCCATTCTTTTCATAGACGTGATGTCTGCATGTTTCAATCAAATTTAGTATAAAAAAAAGGGAGGGGGGGAGCTGTATATTCGGTAAATCATCAAATTTATACCTATTTTAAACTATCCTCTGTCAGTTAACAAGACAACCAAGGGATAGCCTAGTGGTAAGGACCCTCCACCAGAGGATTATTCGAAATCTTAGTGAAACACTGGATTTCTTATCTCATGCATGCTTTTCATGAAAAAAAATACCAATTGAAGTGGAGGGTTTCTTCAAACAAGGGACTGGTTCAACTATTCATATTGAGCATGTTTCTCATCTCTTCTCGAGAAACAAGTGGGGGTTATTTCTTTGCAACAATTCCATGTGGCAATCACGCTAAGATCGAACCATGAGGTTGGTGGTTTGAGTCAATCAAGTGAGTAAAGTGGGAAAAGCTCCCTCCTGCTGGACAGGAGAGGTAATGAAATTTAAGCAGGATGTTCCAACTTGTATCTTGCATGGTCTTTGTCATGATCCATTTGTCCGTCTATTTCTCTCATCTTTTAACATTTTGAGAAGCAAAAGTATGTAGCATATCATGGTTTTAGCCCCTTTTCTATTTGTTAGAATAGTTCAGGAAAATCCATGGGCCTCACCATACAGAATAAAAAATGGTTAATGATTTCTGACGGAACCTAGGTTGTACGTACTCTTCCCTTACGTTGTCGCACCTGTGTTGAATTCTCCAAAAACACTATTTGGGAGAATCCGACATGCACCCATTGACATTTTTGAAGAGTCCGAGCAACATCGTCTGGAACAAAATGTGTAAAAGGCAAAGCTAATGACTAAAACAACTAAAAGAGACATCCCTAAAATGATGAACTTCAAAAAAACACAACAAAATGCTACAAAAGAAAAAATCTAGAACATAGTCTGGCACAATCAGCGAAGAGATATCTAATTGTTTAAGGATAGCTAATGCCAAAGCAATAGTTTACAAGCTTCATTCTGATTGTATGGCTTCTATTTGCCAAAATGAGAAATCTGTGGATCAAGGATCAAAGGGAAAATATTGCTGAACCATAATCCCCAGTATGCCTTGTACTTAAGTAAAACTAAACAGCAAAACTAACAACCTCCATTGCTGAAGTAGAACTTAATGAGACTGAACAAGAAACAAACCTGAATGAGATGTAGTCCGACTGGTTAGCAAATGTGAGGATACGTTTTGTATCAGGCTTGGGCACAGGAAACAAATGCTTTAGGATGTTTACTGTCCTCTCACCAAGCTGCATGATCAAAATATCCCCGGTGAGTATAGAACAGTATATAAGATGCTACACTAAGAAAACAAAGACTCTAGATATTCAAGAATTATCTAAGCATCCAGTAACTGATTTTGGCAACATGATCATTCAGTTTCAAAAATCTCAGCTTCAGTAGCAAGTCTACTGAAACGCATGTGTTTCACTCTTCATCGAAAAACGGATGTCAGGAATTACCTTAGTTGAAAATTTGTCAAAAATCAAATGTGGATACGCCTCAGACATCGTTCCCATAGATTTTTTGTCCTTAATATCATGTCTAGTCACCTGCATGAAAAATAGTAGATGAGGACATCATCTTACTACTCACATAGACAGCAGAAGACTTCTGCGCTTAACAGGGTAAGAGTAAGACCACATACCACATTGAGCAATCCAAAGTAAGCAGTTGGACCAAAAGGCAGATGACTAATGACAATACCATCAGGCACACCACGATTCTCATGGACCAAAATTACATCTGTAAAATCATGAGATCGGCAGGTTTCAATTATTTCTGATATAACCTGAAAAAAAATTTAAAAAAATGAGCAAAATACAAACATATGATAAACAAATAGAAGATAATTGTAAAACCGTAAATATCTTGAAGTTATGCTGCTTGGACTCTCCAAATAACTCAGCCACACCGTGTCGGATGCTTCAAAAATGCACTACGTTTGGAGGATCCGACATGCAGCAAGATGACATTTTTGAAGAATCCAAGCAACATAGTCTTTAAGAACTAAATAGCTTCTTATGCAAGAACCTAAATGTTAATAAGACATATCACTTTCCCTGCACAAACAAGGGGTCTAAGAGTCAAAAGAATCAGAGCTCTTTTCATTAAAAAACAAATATGAGACATCCATGGCTATCTGTTCTCTTCTTTTTATGTTCAATTATTATTTTTCTAGAAAGTTTGCAGGAGTGTGTATATATGTGAGCCTGACACATTATTATAGTATTTACTCTCTGTGTTCCAGTATACATGTAAGACACAAAAATGTACATATACACATGTTTAAATTGCAATTTAAATGAATGGAACACCTCTTCCTATTCCGGCAAGAAGTTACAGATAAAGTACCAATTCTAATTATGAATCTTCCAAGCTGTAAGCTCCCAATGCCATATCTAATAGCTCGTAATGATAGAAATATCAAACAAGAAAAGAATTCCCAATAGCAGACCAACCTGACCACCACGATTCATCCGCTGAGCATTAGGGAACACAATTTTCAACTCCTGTCTCCATACAACAACATGGAAAAAGGAAAGAATAGGACATGAGAAGTGTCTAATTAAAAAAATATAGTTTCCAATATAATGACTTCTAAAAGAAAAAGTGAGAAGGGGATAGTGGACTACGTAATACAATAACAGGATAATTGAAGGGTACACCAACCTTGACAAACTGAGTAAGAGGAGCACTAGGATTTCTTGAAGTGGTAAGCAAAATTTTGGGATCTTTTTCAGGTGCATTAGCATATTCATCATCAATAGTTGATCGAGGTACTGCATCAACATCATTAAAAATAGACAAAAGCCTTGTTATAGCAAATACATAGCACATACAACTACAACTCAATACAAATGTGTAATTAGAGAACATTTCAACAAACCACTATGTTCTACTTGTACGTGCATAGTCTACAATTCCCATCGGTGAATTATTAACAAAAGAACAAAGAGAGAGAGAGAGAGAGAGAGAGAGAGAGATGTTGTCATAGAAAAGGCATGATGAAGATACAAGCATTAAAGAGAGTTGTAAAGATTTCCGACAGCCAATAATTTCTAGTTTATCAAAGGTTTCATATCCTTCCATCATCTTGTTTACCCTCTTTGCTTCTCTCTTCCTTTTCACATTCTACAAGATTTAACCCACCAAGAGAATAGACAAGTGAAGAAAAATTCACGAGCACATAAAAACCTCTAGAAACTATAAAATCTTACATCGTATATATGAAGATAAAAAAAGATACATCTTCTTCGCATTCAGCCAAGGAGACCAATGTACCACTATTTCAAATCAATAACCCACTACACCACCAAGTAAGGATGTTGAAAAAGTGCATAAAGTGGATGAAGCTCAAGGCAAGCTAAGGACATTGTTTCCAAGTATGTTCGTTCCAACTTCCATTAACTACTAGGTAGCACCCTAAAGACTCTTATAATAACTACCACTACCAGCTTCTTTTACCCCAAAGTTACCACCCTGTGATGCACGACACTGCAAATTAAGCCAAAAATCCATTCTTTGGCCTTCAAGTTACTTTTATCAATCCTTTTAAGCAAATCCCAGTAAACATATCACCTTTTCTCCTACAATTAAACAACAAAAATCACTTCCACCCCAATTCAATCATGTATCCCCATAACAAAGACTAATACCAACAATTTTAGTAGCTAGATTAATTCGATTCCAGCTCAATTAGTATCATAATCATACAAACAAAACATGGGGAAAACTGAGTAATTAGCATACCAGCAGTAATTTCATCTTCAAGATCGATTTCTTTCCGAAGAGCAGCTTCTTCATTCCTGAGCTCAGTTGGAATTGGTTTTCCCTCTAAATATACCCAAAATCATCAAAAATCCAAAAACAAAAGGCACAAAAAATATAAAATTCTACAAATTTCATGATTTTCTTATTAAATTTGCAATGAAAACTGACCTTCTAAAGCCTCTCTTATTTTGCGTTTCTTCTCATATAGCAAACGCTCCTTCCCTTCTAAGCTTTTCCTGTATAGGTACTCTCTTCGCAGCCTAATGTTCCTTCTATGCATGGTGGCTTCACAAACGTCGTCGTTTTTCAAGGTTTTTCTGGTTTTAGGGTTTAAGAGATTTTGGGGAAGAAGAAAGAGAGGGTTTTGTGAGAAGACAACAATAAAATGGGCTTCACTTTTATTAGGTATCCCGGGCCCAATATTAAATATTGTATAAGAGGCATCATGAAAGTATTCGTAATGTTAATTTCAAAGGCAAATTACAGAAATCACATACTTTTAAGGCAAAATTATAATCTATCACTTAAAAGTTTAAAATTACAGAAATCTCTCAAACGGATACAATAATATAAGCGCTGATACAGTAATCTAATGCGCGAGATAAATTAATCGTTAAGTAAGATACATTACATTTTATACATGATACACTAATCTGATATATATTATATACATGATACACTAATCTGATGCACGAGATATACTAATCTGATGTGTGAAAATGAGGGATTTTGGAGATTTGAAAAACTTTTAGGTGATAATGGTAATAAGTAAACTAAAATGTGGGATTTCTGTAATTAATCCTAATTTCAATACCACCGGGATATCGTTGATTCAAAGTTAGTATATATACGAAAATATTGAAAATCTATCCCCTATCTATATATACAGGGTAATTTTTTGTCAAGTTATGTAGCCAAACATCACTTCCCAAGTTTTTCCCAAGTACTCTTGGGACCAAACGGGTCCTAAGAGTTTCTTACCATATATTGAGAAAAATGCACTTAAATATATGCATATTTGTTGTTAGATACACTAAATATGAAGAGAGGTGAGCAAGATTCAATGTTTCCCAAATGCATGTGAATTTCACTGATACATGTATTTGTATATATCTGGTGTGATTCGCATGTATCTGGAATACCAAATACATAGGAGAGTGTCGAGAAAGGCAAGTGACATTTGTTATGTATTCTAGATACATGTGAATCTACTCGGATACAATGTATCTAGAGCAAATATACACCTAATTTTGACTCCATATATTCGAGATTCATATATTTGTATATATATCTGGATGCACCAAAATTCGATAAGATATTAACTTAGTTAACTAGAGTGTATCTAAGTAATTAGCTCATAAACTAGTGGAATTTAGGTTTCTCATTAAATAACTTGATTGATGAACCTTAAGTTGGATTGGGCTTCTCCATATATAAGGTGGGTCAAGGTATGGGGCTTATTCTATTCGGGATGTGTAATAGGCCTAAGAGGGTGTGCACAAATAGCCGCTTAGAGGACAGTTGTTTAAAGAAAATTTAAAATTTTCAAATTATTTAAATTTTAGCCACTATATTATCAAGTCAAACCTACGGGGTTAAAGTTGAAAATCGCAAAACTATACTTTAAACTTCAATATTTTTGGTATGAAATTAGAAGGCTTGATGGCAGAAATTTGAATGACCGCTTGGATTATTTGTATGCTCTTCAAGATTTCGGGACTGATCATAAGTTTTAAATTTTTAATTTTAGACATGAATCAAAACTTTCGATCTAACAATTTAAAGTAGAAAATCAAGTAAGAATTAATTTATGTAATTTAACCAACAGATATTTTTATATCAAATACTTGGATGATGTAAGAGTGTTAGGGGAAAAAATGAGTATTAATTTGTGTTAACTAGAATAAATTAAGAAAAAAACACAAATTTCTCATCTCTTTTCAATTAGACTTATTTATTAATTCTACATATACTTCTCGTTCTCTTTTTATGTTGTTGACAAAATTTATATATGTAACGAATAAATATACAAGTTTAAAAACTTCTCTTATAATTTAGCTCCAAAATTCAATTTAAGTTGACTCTTAAAAAATAAAGCGTGACAAATTTTCAGACAACGAAAATACACATTATACTAAAAGTGGTGTTAATAATGTATACTTGAAAAGGACAGGAGTAACTCATTGAGTAAAGTTTATTGAGGAATTTCAGATATAATGAAGATTTTAAAAAGTTTCTAAAAGTTATAAAGGTGATTAAATTCATAAATATCAAAAAACAAAAACTCATTAACTAAAAAATAAACCCAAAGTGCATAAAGATATAGCAATAATGATTATGTTTTTAAAATGTTCCATAAAGGCTTCATATAGAAGTTTCAAAACCCAATAATTCATCATCTTTATCATCTTTTAGGGAAATTAAAAAATTTAAAAAGTGGATTTGTTTGATTTCCAAATTAATTAGGGTCCACTAACCATGTATTAGTAATTTCATACTTTGACAAATATTTAATAATATATTTCCTTTTTATATTCCATTTGGAATTTGTACAAAACAAGATTAATTAATGAATTAAATAAATCAAAAGACTTATTCATATATAGCAAGAGTTTAATCAAATATAAAGGCAACAAGAAATTAATCTAAATGCTTATCATGAATATTTCCTAACAAATTATTTCCAAAATACTAATACACCTCAAATATTCAATACAATTTAACAAATAATAATATTAGAGAAAAGATGAAGGTGATTCAGAGTTGATCTAGATTTAAACTTTAGGTATATCCTTTCTCTTATGAGAAAAGTTATTTTTCCTATACATGTTTGATCCTTTTTGAATTTGGACCAAAGTATATCAATGATTTTATCCTTAGATTCATCCTAAGACACATAATTGCGGAACCAATTAGTCAGTACCCATTTCATAAATTGGGGATAATTAATTACTACCAAACAAATAAAAATTAGGACAGATGAATTTTGTTTATCTAAATAGTAAAATTTGTTGCTAATTTTATAAAAATTATTATAAACTTTTGTTAGCTACAAATAATTTAACTATAAAAGTTGTTGCTAAATTTAGTGTTTAACAATCGATAAATTTTATACTCAAAATCCAAACTGGAGAACTTACTGAATTGAATAAGTCTATGCAATTATTCTTACCATGTGTCCCAATTCAATTCTGAAATTACACGTGCTTCCATTTTCACCACATAATACAAAATATAATTAAGGAAGAAATGTTTTCATCATCTCATTTCGATTTATTTGTTTTTTTTTTGTCTGTTTTTTTTAAATACCTCTTTCCATTTTTAACACTTCTTTAATTTTAACAACTTTTGAATTTCAACATATTATAATTAAAACTATAAAATTAAAATATATTTTTAGTTTAAGACCACGCGAGTTAATTATGGTAATATAATGGATAGAAGACTGGAGAAAAAGGTGAGGTTGTTAAAGACACCAAAAAAGGTGCTTTAGATGAAAGTTCATTTGAGATAAGAAAAGGTTAAAAGTTAATAACTTTTGGATGTTTATTAAAAGGGCTGTCCACTTTCTGCATTAATGCTTTTTAGAGTTTTATTCATTAATTAGTTCTTATTTATATTTGGTGGAGGATCTTCTTTACTTCCTTGGTTAGTTTTCCTTTTATACTTTTGAGGAAAAAAATGTTTAGATTCCAGACAATAGCTATCACATGTCAATAAAACTAATGTATACATTTTATTAGAGTAGGATGGCATTTTCATTTTCACGATTCAAGTCCATAACACGTATGGTTTGTTTTAAGTTCATATTTTTATAAATTTGTCTGTTGAGCTATATTGTTATCGAAATCCAAAGTGCAGCGCGTATTATGTCAATTTATGTTATTGTCTTATAAAGCTCTTCACTTTCCTCAATGAGATATGTCTAAGATATCACATTCACCCCTTCTTGAGAAGCTTATTTAGAATCGAAGCTTGTCAAATTTTATAATAATAGCATATTTAGTAAAATTCTACAAGAGGGGTCTGGAGAGGGTGTTGCGTATACAACTGTATCCCTATACCTTATGAAGATATAAATAGAGAGGTAGTTTTTGATAAACTTTTAGCTCAAGTAAAACACATTAAATGACTATGAAAAAAAATATAATAGTGAATAAATCATATAGAAAATAATAAAAAATGAAATAGTAATCACAACTAAGTACAATAAATGAAGCAAATATAGTAACATGATAAAAAAAAAAATCGAACAAAATAAGATAATAGAAAAGTAGTTTGGATTAGACATACGCGTACAAAGTTTGGCTTGCTAAAGCCTAATTTCAAACAAGTATATCTAAAGTTTATATATACAACTACACGTCATACATTGAGATATTAATATAGATATACATATATTGATATTGATGTGTATTTAAATTCAAACGTCTTAATATTATATAAATATTTTTTTATTCAAAAGATTTGATTCTTGTTGAAATTCTAGAGCTTTTCAAAAGTTGGATACTAAGGGACAATTTTCACTCTTATTATACTATGCATAGGTTTAGTTTTCAATTTAAATATATAAAGTGATGAAGATATAATCACTTTTGATTATTCTAAAGTTAAATTAAAGAATATCATTAAGGTTTAATTAAAAGAAAGAGATTCTTATCGATGTTCTTCCATAATATTTTACTTTTTTTTTCTTCAACTTTTTCATTATAAGATCAACTTTTAATTTTATTGTAATCAAATCAATTAAGATTTATTGTTCTAATATTTTGGAATAACCCTTCATTATTCTTCTAAAAGTTTTTACATTATGCTTTTTGAAGATAAGAATGTTGGGTTTGACTAAAATCAAAGTGAAAACAAAAATCTCTTCTCCAAAAACATATATAGCATGAAAAGTAGTGCTTATCTTCTTTTTTTTCACCAAGTGTTTGGTAACTGCGTCAAAGTTCAATTAATTCAGATACATATTCTGCAAGGCTCATTTTTTATCAAGGACGACTCTTCCAACAATTTTTTTTATGATTTTCTTATTACAAAAAAAATTAATAATTTTTTATACAATAAAATAAAAGTTGAATTATTATTAATTAAATTACCTACATTTTTCTAAAATACTTTTTTTAGTCTTTTCCCTATTATGGATTCATGAAAAGAGAAAGGAGTAGAAAACAACTTTATTATAGCACAATTTTTTTCTCTCTATGGCATTTTTTTTCTGAGAAATTTGATTTTACAGACCAAAAGCAAAAGATGTTATTTTCACCTTTGCCTTTTTCCTTTTTATTTGTTCAAAATTTCATGTTTTTTTTCTTTAATTCTTGTGTTGATTTTCTTACTTAATAGGAGTATAAATGAGAAAGCTAGGACACAATAATTATGTTCTTGTAAGATTCTAAATGTAGCCCTTTATCTTTATAGGTTTAGCAACTTTATAAAGGATTAAACAAGGTGTTTCTTGCAATAAAGAAATGCTTAAGTCTTTTTAAAATGTATTTAACAATGCCCTTTTTAATATTCTAGTATATATATATTAAAATGTATTTAACAATGCCCTTAACTCTCTCTATAAAAAAGCTTTGCGGAAAGCGGGAAGCGAAGAGCTAAGCCACAAATGTCGTGGCGAGGGTTAGACCTCATAAAATCAACGAAGCTAATTATCCTTTGAACTTATAAGGAAGACTTTCATTGCCCTTTGAAAAAAGTAAGAAAAAAAGAGCGCTATTTTATATATTCTAAAAACGAATGACTTTTTATATATTTAAAAATAATATAATTTTAAATATTTTATTTAGTTCTTAGTGACATGATTTTTTTATAACTATACAAATATCATGGTGTAGTGAAAAGATACAAAGAAAAGTGACAAGGATAAGGAAAATTTTCTCATCACATAATCATGATACATAAGGTCATGTTTAATATTCTCCTTACATTTCTTGAATTCTAAACATAATGCATCTATCAACACTTTCAATAAGTCTAATATCATCAACACTAATTTCATGATCATCATGATCAATAGAGATGTTTAAATCCAAAGAAACACAATTAGGACTAATAGTTCTAATTTCCTCATTGTCTAATCCATCACCATTAGGAGACACACCTCTTGATGACCTAGAACTAATAAAGCTCTCATGATCACAACTTAAAATGATAATTGCATCACTTAGACTCACCTCTTCACCACTTGAATTTGCTATTCTCCCTCTTTCAATTGCCTTCTTGATCCCCCTTTGAGAACAATAGTCCATTTGTTCCACATCCTCCATGAAGAAAACGCGATGTGGATTTGAACACACTGCTTGTACAAATCTCTCAATGTAGCTACAACTTTGTTCATCTCGTGATCTTTTGTAATAATCCAATTTCATGGAAGAAAAACTACTCAAAGCAATTGATGTGAATCTTGAATAAGAACCAAACACAACCTTAGCCAATTCCCTAGCAATTTTTTCTTTTGCTTGAACATCGTGACCTTGGAAAAATAACCAAGTTTCTTCTTTGGCTTCACCATTTGATCTTTTTAACATTCTTGACCTACATTCCAATATTGTCCTTGAAATTTTTTTGATAGCCTCTTTTTGCCATGACACTTTCTCCTCTAATGCATTGGAAAGAATGTTCAAGTTTTCCAAATTGAACTCCTTAAACATTGAAATGTTGTATTCCATCTCCATGATTTGATCAATTGAGGAAGTAGAATTTGGATTATTTGAAGAAAACGCGTTCCTAGGGTTACTATCACTATGCTCAGGAATGTAGATTCTCAAACTTGGTTCGCGTGTAGTAGTATCATTTCCCCCTCTCCATGTTTGTTCTTCTTGATCAAGAAATGGTGAGTTGAATATTGAGGAAGGCGATGTTGAAGTAGGAAAGGTTAGACTTCTTTCAAATGTCTTGTTTTTTTTATGAGACGAGTTGCATATTGAATTCCACTTCTTCCAGAGTAGTTCAACTGACACACCCTTCTGAACGAAAACAAAATTTTCAAGTCAAGTATATAATATTAAAAAAAAAATCGGGGTGGGGGTGGGGTATAAAGATAAATCAAGATTTGAATCTAGTTAAGTGATTAACCTGATTTTGATCATGATGATTACTATTAAGTCTTTGCCTCTCCTCTTTAAGCCATGAAGGTAAACTTGATGTGGTCAATGTAGAAGATTCAATGTTAGAAGCATTGTTTTGTTGTAATCTTAATGCTTCTACTTTGAACTTGGAAGAACAGTCACCACAACAAGTCAATTGATTCTCTTGATCATGATCATCCACACTATCAAGAATCATCCCACAAGATCCATTTTCATTTGCCTTGCTTCTAAGTTCAAGTTGTGTATCACTATTTACAAAAACATTAAAAAATTTAATAAGTTGACAAAAACAATAGTCACTATTGAAAAACTAGAATTAAATATGAAATTCATCGTTGATCTGTCGCTAAATAGCTAATAACTAAATAGAATTAGTGATGGATATTTGTTGATGATAGAAATTGTATGTCGCTAATTATATTCATCTATAGTAAATACACCATGTAAAAACTTTATTTATTTATTTTTTATAAACTTTACTTTCTCATATTTTGAGGGAAATAAAGAGATAACCGACCATAATGAAAGTGGAGGAAAAAAAGAGAAAAGGGGAAAAGTGAATGGTCAAACAACAAATTACCTAGAATGAGAAGAAGAAGAATAAAGGTAAAAGAAGGATTAAGGAGTAATGCTTTTGAGAAAAAATTAATATAAATATAAATATAAAAAGGGTAATTAATACTTTTTCTACTCTTTCATGTAAAATTTTTAGCACAAGATGTATAGGATACTTACTTTAGATATATAAAAAAGAAGATATTAACTCCAATAAATCTAACAATCAAATTCAAGAAAAATAAATAAAGTCCAAGAAAGAATGAATGAACTCATTTTAAATATAGTAATACAACACTAATACTTCAAAAGAATTTGTATACCAAATCATGTCAATTTAATCGGTTATAACATGTTATTATCTATTTTTCATATGTATTACCATTTCAGGCTCATTATCAACCCAACGAAAAAGTAGGAATTAGCAACAATCAACTTTTATTGTAGAATAACAAAAATCATAATTAATTCTATTTAACGATAGATTAGCAATGGATTATCAAAAAAGTCTTAATAATCACATATAATTTTTTTCAATAATGGATTTGATAACTATAATTTCGAATGATTTACATATACATCGACAGTGCACAGAACTTAAACAGATTTATCTTACCTCTCAGAGTTGAGACTGAGGACCAAACTTCCAGTAGGAACAGTAATAGGATGTAGGCCCCAAATGGATTCCAATGAATTATGACCACTTCTACATCTCATGTAAGTTTGAAATGTTGCAATTCCCACAAGCCAAAATTTTCCATTTTCACCAATAATACTACAAATCAATCTCCCAAGTTCCATGACTATATGTTCCACAGGACAATAATAGCCAAAATTATTATTATCATCATTATTATTACCCCTATAATCAATAATCCACTTAAGGTCTCCCAAGTATAAAATAACCCCTTTGGTTACTAGACTTTTCACAAGACAAGTCAACTCTCCAATTCTTTGGTCAACTTCTTCTCTTGTGATATTAGAAAAAGTTGAAAGAGGAACACTTATGAGTTTAATTTCCTTCAAAGATTGATCAATAGTACAACAATTGTCAACTTTATCCATCACTCCTTTAATAACACCTTCTAAGTTACCAATGCATTCACCAACTATCACTATACTTTTTCTCCTTTTGTTCATTAGACTTTCCACTACACTCATCACATCCTCATCTTTGACATGTAGAAAAGAATTAGGAGTACTACTTACTTTGTTGCAACTTGCTTTTAATAATCCACCACTTTGAAGGAATATATGGTTGTTGTTGTTGTTGTTTTCTTTGAAGTTACTTGAAGGAGAAGGATTTTGAGAAGTACTAGTACACATGAGTTCAACATTGGTTTTGACTTGAGTACTTGAAAAGCCAGCTTCTCTCATGACCCTACTCACACTAGGATCATCCAAGATGGAAATGATGAGTTGTTCAAGATCTATCTTCACACCTAAAATAGGTTGTTGTTGTTGATTCTCTATTATTGACCCTCTCCTTTGATGAGCTTGAGCACGCTTGAAAGCGGCTACAAGCGCGTTAGAAATGGAAGGATGTTGATGCTGACTCTGACTCTGACTCTGATTCTGATTCTGATTCTGATAAGGATGACCTAGTAGCATGGGGCTACTAGACGAAGATGATGAAGTAGGAAGGCGATTGAGGGCCACGTTGAAACAAAGCTCAAGGGCTTTACAACGGAGGGGATGAGATTGAGTTTGAGTCTGAGACTGGAGACAAGCTGTTCTAAGCAAGCCAGAAGAAGAACCTAGTAAGGTGTTTGCTACATGGAGAGGTGTTACTTGGGCATGGCCACGACGTTTAGCTAACACAACAGCTTGTTTTACTATACTTGCTGCCTCTGATGTTAGAGCTTGTTGCACTGTGCAACCACCACTCCTCATGTTCAATTACTTGATCAAGAAATTAAGAAGTGAAAAAAAATGAAAGTTTGGCAAAATTTTGGAGCTAGGGTTAGTTAAGCTAAGGTGTAGACCCTTGTGAAAGTCTTAGCTTCATGATCATTATGAGTACTAGAGAATTAAAAGTTTCATATGTATAAATCTTTTATAACTTGCTTGAGTTATATAATTGAATAATAATGGATGCAAGAACTCAATAAAGAGAAAACCCTAATTAAGCCCTATTTTTTTTTGGGTATATGTTTGTTTGTAATCTAGAGTAAGATTGTATTATATGGTGAGACAAGTGTGAAAAAACATAAGGTTGGGGGTGGTGATATGATGGGGACATTTGCAAGGAGTAGTTTTTTTTTTAATATAAAAAAGATATCTTTAATTTTATTTTATTTTCTATGTTGGAGTACTTGGGGGGTTGTTCTTTTCTTGTAGATGAGGTAAAAAAATTTGGTTGGAGTCCAAAAGTGATTTGTAGTGGAAAGTGGAATGCATGTGCTGACAAGGAGGAAGAATTGCACTATTACCAAAGGCAACTCAACTTTAGTTTACTGATCTCTTTTGTTGTACATATTGTACCTTTATTAAAAGGAAGACTTAGGTATATGTATTCTTCTATATTACGGGAGAAGTATTAAAAATATTCTTAAATTTTATTAATTTTATTTTTGAATTATCGATGATCTTAAAAATATTTTTTTACTTGATTAATTAAACTTAGATACACTCTTGATCTGTCATGATATAACAAGTAGTCTTGAACTCTTGTAAGAACATGAGACTCTTAATAAAAAGTAGAGAAAATTGTTGAAAACAGTCCTAAACTTGACGAGAATTTAGGAGTGTACATATTTCACTCATGTTGCAAGATTGGGAGTGTATTTAAATTTAGTTAGTCAAGTAAAATGGTGTTTTTAAGGTTGTCAATAGTTCATGAATGAAACTATTAATTCGCGCCAAATTTAGAAATGTTTTTAACACTTCTCTCATATGTTATCAATAAACTTAGGTTACATATATATATATATATATATATATATATATATTATATATACATTATCTATACATATTTTATAAACTATATGTTAAAAGTATTAAGTTGTATAACTTTAAGATTAGAAATTCATACTTTGAAGAGCTTTATATGTAGGTATCATTTGGTACGAGTTTGAACGAATCTGAAAGCTTTTATTTGAAACTTCTATTTATATTAGAAAATTAAATAAAAATATGTATAAATATTTAATTGCGAACCAATAAGAATAACGAGCTTGTGGGGGCAAATTTACTTTGTATTGGCCCATGCCATGTTAGATTTTTTTGCAGTGTGAGATATTATATTATATTATTATATAGTAACATATAAAGAAGAGCAACTCCACTCCCTATCTACTTTATATATCTTTGATAAATCCAATAGGAAAAAAAAACATTTTTAATATTAAATAATTAAATAAATATAGAAAATGTTAAAACTTGTGTTGCGTTGTACACAATTAACTAGAGATCTCACTTTTAATTCCTCTCAATCATCTTATATATGCTTTTTAGTACTGCCCTTCTTCAAGACAAACTGACAAAATAATGTGTTGGGAACTACTCTTAGGGTGTGTTTGAAATGAAAAGGAAGATGTTTCTTTAGAAAATAATATTTTATTTTTTTGATGTTTGATTAATAAATGAAAGATATTATCGCAAAAATATTTATATATAATTCAGCTAGTACTATGAAGATGGAATTATGAGGAGCATGCTTAGGGTGGAGGGTGTGGTGAGGTGTTGAGGGGAGAGGATAGAAACTATGAGTGGGGGTGTCGGGAAGGGGAGGGTTAGGGTGTGGGGGACGACAAGCAGAGGCGGACCCACACTTATAAATGGGTTGGCACCCGTCAACTTCGACAAAAATCATGTTTATATATGTATATTTATTTTGAAAAACTGACAGAAACTAGGATATAATTAACAGTGAATTCCTGAGGAGCACCGATGAGACTAGGGTTCAAATATGGCTAAAGCTCTTTTTTTTGTTTTTATTTTAAGTTTACCTTAGCTTAGAGCTCATATTTGAGCTAAAGTAATATTGATGCAACCGAAGTCTTCAAATTCTGAATACGCCTTTACCGGTAAGTGAGGAGTTTGGGTGGTGTGGATAAAAATATCACTCATAAAACTTATTTTTTCTATTTCTTGCCTTTTGTTTTCGTGATAAATGTAAATAGATATACGACTTGCTAGTGAAAAGGTAAAGGAATAGAAAATTTGTTAGATGTATGGCTTATTGATATAAAGGTGAAGTCAAGATTTACTATATATATATAATATCGACTTAAGTTTTATGATTCTTTTCGTATTAAATTTGTTATATTCTTAAAAAAATGTAGTTTTTGTTAAAAATATTGGATTCAAAATGTTGTAACGTTGCATTCGTCTCTATATGAGTGAAATGAAAAGTAAAAGAATAGAAGAAAACAAAAACTTTGCTAGATATAGTAAATGGTCCATAATATAAAAATGAGTGAATATAATTTATCTTCTTTCAAGAAGAACTATATAGCATGCTAGTCAATAAAGTTTATCTCCCACATCTTTGTTTTGCCTTAAAAGACATTACAAGATTGTTTTGATTGGAAGTAAGAGAGAGACCAACATTGTGGTGAAATAACGAGATTGCTCCACCTTTAATTAAAGATTTCATATTGGAGCCTTGAGTATGAAGAAAATATTCTCGTTGGGAGCGTCATTCTAAAATGGATCTTGCAATGCGCAATTCAAATTTAGTCGAAATTCTAATGTAGACTCCAAACATCAAATAAGAAACAAGCTATAAAAAAAAAAGTAAGAGAGAGAGCATTCTTTAGAAGCCAAGAAAAGTAGTGTTTGAATGCCCCCCACCCCCCCCCCCCCCACCCCCACCCCAATTTAGCATACACAAACAAATATCACCCATACAAAAGGTTTCTACACCCCCCCCCCCCCCCCCCCCCGAAAAGCTCACACAATTGTTATTTTAATTTAAAGATAATCAAAATGTTAAAAGCTCACCTCAATTTTATATTACAAGTTATAATTTAATTAGGTGGACCACTATGAGGTATGTGAGCATATATATAGGGGAAAGATTAAGTTAATCTAGTATTTGGAGACCCCATTAGGTTTACTTTCCTAATAAGACTAATTTGATTACAAAAAGAAAGTATAACAATCGAATTTTTTTATGGTTGTTATAGATCTTTTAACAATCAAATTTCATTTCAATCGTAAACTTTTAATATCAGGGCTTTCAATAACATATTGTATTTGGTAATGATTGATTTTCAATCGTAAACTTTTAATATCAGGACTTTCAATAACATATTGTATTTGGTAATGATTGATTTTGTTTAGTCATTAATTAACTAATATGACACGATTAGGATAATATCAACTCTCTTGGAGGTCGACAACCGGATTTGAACTTTAATATAGCCAAATTTTCCTTTGATGAAATTATAAAGTTTTCACAAAAAATAATCAATAAAGTAAAAAATAAGATAAATAATCGATCATAATTCATATGTGTGAAGATTCATTATTAATTTAATTTTTTTATACCATCAATATATACGTATCAACTAATATTTGTGATAACAATCAAAGTTTACATTATCATCATTCATTAGCTAATCACTCCTTTTTTTTAATAATGCCTTTAGCTTTCTAATTAATAACTTTAATTTTAGATCTTTCAACATCAAATCCTGAGTTTTTTCAGTAATGATTTATTTTTTTATTCCAAAAAGTTATAGAGGTAGTCAAGTTGTCATAGAAGCAACTTGTTTGTTCTTTCTAAATTATTAAATCTTTTTTCTTTTTGGTTAAAGTAATCAAAGCATTATATGCAATAAAGCACTATTAAAAGCAAAATATTGTATTATCTACTCAAAAGAGCTACTCGTTTATATGCTTTTGAACTCCTTTTAAAGAAATTATTTATCAAATATTTTATTTTATTAAGTTATTCATGTTAATTATATTTTGAAAATTCAAATTTGATTATTAGTATTCCAATAAGTTTAAATTTTAATTAAGCATGTATAAGGATAATTTCGTTTAAAAAATCTATTTTTAAACTGCTAAAATTAATAAGTAAAAGGGAGAATTTACTATTTGTGTATTAGAACAGAGAGGAAGTATATATATGCATTGTTTCTAAGTTATAAAGTCATAATTTCCTTTTTAGTCCATATAAAAAAGAACGTTACTTAATAACCTCCATCTTAGTTAATTTGCCACTATTGACTAAGTACAAATTTTAAGAAAAAAAAGCAAGATTTTTAAAATTTGTAATTTGTGCGACTTTATATAAATCATCACATTAAAAATAAAATTAAGACTTTAAAGCAAAATTAGCTGTAAATATAAAAAATGATACTCTTTTTTTGGGGGAAAGGGTTGGGGGGGATAAATTATAAAGAAAAGTAATACTACATTCGTCAATTTTTAATTGTCATATTAGATTTTTCGAAAGTCAATTTGACTAAATTTCATAATTAAATTATATTACATTAAACAAAAAAAAATCAAAAAACTATACAAAAAATATTATAAATTACAATTTTTTAAGTATCAATACGATTAAAAGTTACTCTAATTTTGACATGACAGCCTTCTTATATAATGTTAAAGTTGATGGATTACGTACTATACACACATTGCTTTTCCAAAAAAGTATTGATTATTTTTAGGCCATTATTTTGTAATGACCAAATTTTATGTTTCAATGCACTTTGTCCAAAGCATATAATATCATGAGAATATAAATGGCAAACATTTGCTTTATTATTATTATAATAAAAAGAAATCCTCAATCATCTCTAGGGAATGTTCCCTAGCCCTTGCTAATTTTCTAATGCCTTTTGGCCCTTTTTATTCAAGTTCAAATTATATGAATCGTTGTCGTAGCAATAATAATATATTCAGTATAATCATCAAATTCCCAAATTTATATAACCTTACTTTTGTTTAACTCAAGGGAATGTTGTGATTCACTCGTTCCTAGGATTATGCTTCTTGTATGTTGGAATATTACATTACTTTGAGAAAAATGAGATTGATTTTAAATACAATAATATATTAGGA